AAAAAAACTTAAGTAGAAAATCTTACTTAAGTCAAAAAAGACAAAGACTTTTTTGGACTTAAGTTTGACTTAAGTCAGATTTTCTACTTAAGTTTTTTTAAGAAACAGGCCCCAGAGTAGAGAAGTTAATTTCGATCCATTTAACTGAAAGTGATAAAACAAAACCCCTGTGACGAGACACACACAGACAGACAACTATTTTGTAAGACTTTAGACTAAACTCAAAAGAATAAACTCTTAAGACGACAATAAAAAAGAGCACGGTTATACCTTCTCATTGGAATAGTACGAACCAACCAGAAAAGAGGCTAGTAGTTGGACTAAATGCTAGGATTGTGTCCTCTTTGGTATCATTAGTGTTTTAATGACAACTTTAGTTAACATAAGCTAAAAAGAAAATGACGCCGGCGCCTTCTACGTACGAACATGATGTCAACGTCATTTGCATTTTAGCTTATCTCGATCGATAAATTTGGACAAAGTTGCCATCGCATTTTACAGTTTTTCTTGTTTTGAATACGCATTCAATAGTGTAAGTCTTCATGCATTTTGTATACTGGGTTGCATTTTGCTATTAAAAAACTTCCTAGCACTTGTCCATTTTCTGAAGGAAAAGGAAGCTTAAAGTATAAAGTTTATATACGAGGATTTTTGTGGTTTCCAGGAGGTTTTTGTCAGTAGCTGTAAACACCAAATTTATATTGAAATTTGATCAATCACAATTTCACTCCGAAATTTTACAGCTACTGAAAAAATTGTGGTTACAGCTACTGACAAAAGCTCCTGAAAACCACAAAACTCCTCGTATATAAACTTTATACTTTAAGCTTCCTTTTCTTTCGGAAAATGGACAAGTGCTAGGAAGTTTTCACAACAATGCCGGTAACTGGTTAAAGTTGTACAATAGTCAAGGGGAGTTCTTTTGTTTTACTTGAACTTCAAACAACAAAGTATTTATTACAGGAAACTTAGCGCAAAATTGAAATTTTGATCTCTAAATTAAAAATAGATGAGTGCTCCGAGAACGATAATGGCGTAGTGTTGATTTGCTGTCTATAATTTTCAAAGATGCGACAAGAGTATACGTGATATTTTATCACATACTGAGCAACATATGTAAAAGTTCGATTGCACAAAAACAAGGTTAATTCAGAATTAAATTTTCTCGCCTAAGTATGTATCACCCAAGACAAGAGTTTTCTCATCCGACTGTGCAATACTCCTGACTCCATTCATTATGACCGAAACCCGTATGGCATGGTAAATGATGAGTCTCCCGCTCTTGCTTTTTGTAATGCTCTTGAACTACGTTTCTGGCTTCTGTTAGATCATAATGGAGGTGCTAAACAAACACTTAAATAAAGTCTGAAAGATTCTTAAATTTATTGTATGAAATAGACAAGTTTTCTCGTTATTCTCGGCAGAGTTCAAACCCGAGATACCTTCAAGCTTCAGTACTTTTTTTGCATATGTTTTTTCACCTAAACTCGTTGATTGTTGTTGTCTTTGATGAACAAAAATGAGTTGAATCAATGTATTTTCTACTTTGTACTATCTATATATTTTTAATGAAGATACACCCAGAGCATCCAGATGATACGATCAAGACGTTGACAATTTCTTGGTGTATCTTCATTAAAAATATATAGATAGTACAAAGTAGAAAAAACATAGCGACACTACAGTAGTAGAGTTACCCGTGGACAAGCAGTGTGACGTTATTACACTTTTCTTCCCAAATGTCTCGTCATTAAAAGATTTATATCGTAGTTTTGCTGTGACTTTCCGGAACAGTGTAAAAAACTACAAATTCTTGTTGTTTTTGTTAATTGAACAGATGAACATAGCTACGTTTCTTCAAAGTCAACAATGTTCGCCATAATCAGTACTGTAAAAGACAAGTATGATACGAGTTAAACAGTGCTCTTAGCTGTCAATAAATCCATTCTGATTTCTTATAACGCTTAAATAGTTTATCATTGCTATTTTAAATGGAATTATGATTTTAGATATAAATTTGAAAACGTTTTAGTGCATAACTTTATTCAAAAGTAGAATGGGCAGACCAGACTTTCGTGGTGGTGGCGATCGTGGAGGCAGAGGCGGCGGATTCCGAGGAAGAGGTACTTTTAGATTATTAATCCTAACTGAATTTCTACACCGCACCGTTCATCATGCAGCCAGACATATGTATTTTGGATGATAAAAAAACTAGAGGAAGGAAGGAGTAGCCTCAAGTTTGTTTTCGATTGATATAAAATATCAACGAAAAATAGTGTCTTCAATTCTATGATTTTTTCTGAAACATACTTAAATCTAGATCTTTAGAATATGGCATTCGTTTTTTTCAGGAGGTGATCGAGGTGGTAGGGGTGGAACACGTGGTGGTGGCGACTTTAAAAGAGGCGGTCCCGGAAGAGGCGGTGGAAGTAAGTTTTGTATTTTGCTTGCAATGTACATGTGCCTTAACTTGATTATTTATTTTGTTTTAGGAGGACGTGGTGGACCACGAGGTAGATTTTTTCTTTACTCATTTTAAATTGGAGTTTATCGGAGTTGACCATGATTTTTTACGGTTATGAAGTTTCATCTGTGGACTATATTTCTGTCATGCTGTTATGTAAGTCAACTGAACAATAGAGTTCTTTTGTTTACTTAACTAATTTTTAGAAATTACTCCTTTGGTTACGGAATACAGAATATCTAATATGCTAGTCAGTGATTTATCTAACGGATGAGCAGCACCTTATCGGCTTTTTTGTTTGCCATGTCGGAAATTAGTAAATGATTTGGCAAAAAATAGCCTTTCAGATAGTAGCCCTCCTCGAAACATTGAAGCTATCTGTATATTCTGTAGTTCTTAGCGGAACCAATAAAAGTTGAGTGAATAACGACAAAGTAGCGATATATTATAAGGGCAGGATTCTATCAGATACAATCGAGTAATAAACTGATAGTTCATTTATCTCACCCGCTGGTAAATGAAACCTAAATAAATAACTAGTGCTGGTTTGTTAGAAAACCATCTTCTATGATATGTTTTCAGATCGAACGAGATTATGTATCGTATCGTGAGAACTCGAATGGTGGATTTTCCATTTACACATTCCTGAGTTGAATTGACAACGGACATATATTTGGTCTTTGTAGGAGGTGGACGCGGTGGTGGCGGAGGAGGCAGAAAAGTAGTTGTCGTGCCTCACCGACATCCTGGTAAGTTAAAAAGGTGATTCTAAATAACTTTTTTCATTTATTACTACATTAAAATGTTGAATTATAGGAGTTTTCATCGCGAAAGGCAAAGTTTGTATCATCAGCCAAATCCTTATATTACAATAAACTTTTCTTTGCATTTTATTAAGGATGATGATATGTTGTTAACAAAAAATCTTGTTGTTGGCGAAAGTGTTTATGGTGAAAAACGTATCAGCGTTGATGTATGAGTTTTCTATTTTTGGAGTTGTTTCCTACGTTTTAATAGTTCTCTTTCTGTCTATACGCATATTTTAAATATTAATTTTTTATATCTTAGGCTGAGAATGCAGAGAAAATTGAATATCGTGTATGGAATCCATTTCGTTCGAAATTAGGTGCAGCTATATTAAGTGGAGTTGACAGTATTCATATGCCACCCGGTGCAAAAGTATTATATTTGGGAGCAGCCAGTGGCACAACGGTCTCACATGTTTCTGATATCGTTGGACCAGTAAGTTTTTATATCTTGTTGAGCTAAATAGAAGGAAAATAATTTGGGTTTTTATCGATTAACAGACCGGTCTTGTATATGCAATTGAATTTTCTCATCGCTCTGGACGAGATTTACTTAATGTAGCGAAGAAACGTCCAAATATAATTCCTATAATTGAAGATGCACGTCATCCACATAAATATCGTATGCTTATTGGTACGTACTTCATTATCTCTCCAATTGAATACATTTCATTAGATCATGTTCTTTACTGCAGGAATGGTTGACACAATGTTTGCCGATGTTGCACAACCCGATCAAGCACGAATATTAGCATTGAATGCCCATCATTTCCTTAAGGATGGTGGAAATTTTGTTATTTCTATTAAAGTATGCAATCTTTTAACAACTTCATCTTTGAGAACAATTGTAGTACAATATTCATATGTTGTTTAGGCAAGTTGTATTGATTCAACTGCAGCACCCGAAGCTGTGTTTGCAGAGGAAGTAAAAAAATTACAAAGTGAAAAACTGAAACCAAAAGAACAAATAACTTTAGAGCCATACGAGAGAGACCACGCTATAGTTGTCGGCACCTACAGGTAAAGAATTGTTGCTGATTACGAGTTAAACGTGTAAAATTCACAAGGATTACACAATACGTTTTTCATAGATCGTAACCTTCAGTTGATTTTATTTCTCTGTTTTAGGCCGCTAGGAAAAGCGAAAAAAGAAGTCAATCAGAATGAATAATGTCCTTTATTCGTGTAGATTTTTCTTGTTTTGTTTTCTTGTGAATGCTCGGGCTATTGTTATTTCTGTTATTCAACAATTTGAAAAATAAATGATTTTTTATACATATTTGTAAAATGCGTAGTATTCATTTTTAGATTGTTTCCTAAACAAACTAACACAGCCTCTAATTCAGTATTAAGATAATCAGAGTTCTATATTTTATATTTCGTTATGATAGAAAAAATTACTAAAAGAGTGTTATGGAGCTGTTTTCCGTACTCCAATGCGTTTTTTGTATATCTTTGATGATTAGCGCACCAGTCGAGATATTTTAACCAGCTCAGTTTGCACAGAATTTCAGGGGCTATCTGTTCGTGTATTTAGTTAGTCTTTTTGAGTGTAAGAAAGTTGAGAAAAGCAGCGTTTACTCATCACGTAGGCCTTGTTTTGAGGGTGCTGAATGGGATGATATCGTCGAGAAACTAATGGGATTTTGGTGAACAAATGTATCGGATTTTATCTGGAATCGAATACTAGTAAATTTTTCCTTCATACGAAACCATTATTAGTCGGGAAAGTGAGTTGGTCGATTGTTAGCATTATGGGGTTCTGTCCTTTCTATGCACTCACAAAATCACTGCGTCACGTTTTTTGGAGATGTATATATATATATATCGACATTAGCTTACATCGGTGCGCACTGATTATACTATACTATTTTTGAAAGGATATGTGATAACCGTTTTATAGAACGAGTTGTTGATTCGAGGTTCAGTTTCTCATAATCAGTAAACCTTAGTGAATGTACCCGCGAGTGAATACTTATTTACTTGTGAATATCTGTGAGCAGTTAGTAAATATTTTGGTAAAATACCACTTAGTAATTACTTGCCCAAGTACTTGAAAGTACTAGGCCGATACTTAATTTACTTGTTGAATCTTGCACAGGTACCCGTGGGGTTACTTGAGCAAGTGCTTAACCAAGCATTTGACAGCAAAGTTGAATAATTTGACTACTTGACTTTCTTGACAAGTTCTTCATTCATTTTGGAAAAATGCCATAAATGTTGTACAAAATTTTCGAGAGTATTTGAGCAATTACTCATATTACAATAGATTCACTAGGAAAAACATTAGATGAATGAAAGTCAGATTTCATCTGAAGCTACTACTAAAATTTGATGCGTTCGACACACATGCTCCTTATCCAGGTCGAAGAATCATACGAACGGATCGTATCAGATCGGATATGATCAGATACGATTGTATTGTATGATCGTACACATATGATTTGCCGCATATGAATCGTCGCAATTCATTTCTTTTTCATGCCTTTTAATCATATATGGGAAACATAAAAGGTTTAGAAAAAGAGTCGCTGGGTTTGCAAAAAATGTAGAAATATTTCAGTTCATTGGATAAATCACATCAAAACAAGAAAAAGAATTTAAAAACATAAATTTCTTAAAAAGAAAAATCAACAAACAGAGCATTACAAAAAAAAAGAGTAAGTCTAAAAAAATGTGTTTTAAGACGCATTTTTTGAAGAAAATCGTCCAGCAGATAATTTTCTCTTTTATACGCTACTATGGTCCGCGCAGTTCTGACTCACTCTAACCTGAATTTCGAAAGTACGCTTACGGGAAACTTCGAGCGCAAATCTTGTGACTAAGCTTGTGACTAAAACGCACTGACAGTAAAGGGAAAGGCTCCCTTCTGGCCTTCATCTTCTGAATCAGAGCTGCTTTCTTCTGAATTCTGAGTGTCATACTAAAACTGTGTTATCAAATAATCAGAATTCAATTTAAAGAAAGACCAAAAACAAAATAAATGAGTTGAGCATCGCACAACATCGCGAGGATAGTAGATGGTGCTGCTATGCATTTAGTATGCTTAACGCTATGAAATTAAAGTGAATTTTCTGAAGCAATATACTTCTAACACTAAACAAGCCATTTGAATTCGACTTTTTTTGAATTCAACTTTTTTTTAAATTTCAAGTATAAATCGCAGCAAAAGCAAAACAATGATCTAAAGAGTACGATTTCGACTCAAATTATATAAAATCATTTTAGGAAATCGTATGAAATCGTTTACTAAACGATTTTGTACGAATCATACTGAACAATTTTCTGCGAAATACCTGACCGACATATAATCATATTCATACCGAAATTGTAGTATAAGAAATCATACGATCCTGCCGTACGAAGCATTTATCTTATTCTTATTTCTCTCACGATCTTGCACAATCTTAGTACGATTCTTCGACCTGGGTAGTTGAAAACTTAATTTAGATCAGTATTTTTGAGAGTTCTAATAGAGTAGTTGATTCTAACGTAGGGTACATTTTGTAAAAAGTAGTGAATTTCGTATAACCAAATGATTATTTTCATCACAAAGCTGTAAATTTCAAAATATCAATTACATATAGCAGAATAGATGGAATTAGTAATTCGATGATCGATGACTACCAACCGATGATATCTAAAAGATGATTTCAGTTGACAACCAGGTTTCTGATCGTTTTTTGTGTGCCGAGATGTCAAAGAATTTCTTAATCTGACGCAGGCGAAGGTTTTAGATTCAAAACGCGTTAGTGTGCGTTAATTTTTAACGCGTTAAACGGAGCAATTCTTGCACCAATTGATGCATCAAAACGCGTATCTTTACTTCAAATAGTCGTGCGCTAAAACGCGCTAAGAATGAACACATTTTGATGTATCAATTGGTGCAAGGATGAACACGTTTTGATATATCAATTGGTGCAAGAATTGCCCCCGTTTAACGCGTTTAAGCGCACGCCTATTGCAAGCAGGGGAATGCGTTAAGAAGGAACGCGTTTTGATATTATCAAAATACAAGCGTTGAAACACATTAGGTGCTTATCGCGCTCGAATACGTTCGATTTTACTGCGTCAAAACTCGTCAAAAACTAAAACTAAAAAAAATTAAAATTTGATTTAATTTTAAATTCCAGCAGAGGTCCATGGTGTTCCCTAGCATCAGAAAGTCGCTAACAAGTTAGAAGTGTAAGAGAAGAGGGCAAGAATACGAACTAGTTGCTACGACATGACTTGGGTTCGAAGTTATACCAAAAAGAGCATGCAGATTAGCAAGATTCATATCAAATCATCAGCTGTAATTCTCACGTGAGAATTACAGCTGATGATTTGATACGAATTTTGCTAATCTGCATGCTCTTTTTGGTATGACTTCGAAGTACAAAGTAGATTTGCTCTGCTTAGGGATTTCGTGATATGTTTGATGCAATAAAGGATTGGAACGCGTTTTTCTACTTATTGAGTTCGCTTTACTTGGTTGGTATGTACAATCGAACGCGTTAGAGAAGAACGCGTTTCTGTGTTTTTCAATCTAATGCATCAGAACGCGTTAGTATTCCATGTACTAAAAATCGCATAAAAATCGGCAATTAATCGTGAAAAATCATACGATTAATCGTGCGCTTAATCGCGATTAATTGCGGATTTTTTGGTGATTTTTAGGCGATTTTAGCGATTAATCGCAATTAATTGACGATTTTTTTCTAGGTACTAGGTTTGGACCCACCTTAGGAAATACATATTTTTTTCTGTTTTTTCATTGTTTATTACGCATAATGACATGTGCGTCACACAGCAATGGTCTTAGCACCAGCTGGCGTTGGGGTCTTGCCGACGAGTCAGCTTTAAACATTGCCCAAATACCAGCTGTTCAGTGGGCTTTTCGGTTTAAAGCTCTGAGGAACAATAGAGAAGACTGTTGACAACTCCGTTGTATTCTAAAATAAAAAGATGATCCAAATATAAGTATATTTTTCGCTGAAATCGTGTTTCTTATATACAAACTTTATTGCAAAAGAAAACGATGAATAACAACAACTATTTAATCACTTAAAATCAACAATTAATTGCAATTAATTAATGATTTTCGTGATTAATCGCGATGCACGAAAAAATTATCACTTAACCGTGATTAAATGATCATTTTTTCCCGAATCGCAATTGAGCGTCGATTTTTAAAAACCATCGCGGTTAATCGACAAAAGTGAAGCGATTTTGAGCACATGGGATATGGTGCATTATAACCAAGAGGGAAAGCACGGAATCCTGAAATCCTGAAATTTTATGGAATCTAGTAGAATCCGGTGGAATCTGATGGAATCCGGTGGAATCTGATGGAATCCGGGATTCTGCACTTCTCCCGAAACAGAACAAAAGTGTTCGATATTTTGGGGAATTGTTCCCAAAAACAGAACAAAATGTTCTGTTTTGGGGAGAAGTTTCAGGGAATCCAAGGAAATCTTATGAATTCCAAGAGAATCCTATGGAATCCTGGGGAATCCAGGAGAATTCAGGATTCTAGGATTCCGTGCTTTCCCCCTTGATTTTAACGCTTAATCGATTTGCTCTGAAAACGCGTTTCAAAGCTTTTCCTCTGCACTGCTTCGAGATGCGTTAATAGCTAATGCGTTTCACTGTTTTAATTTTTAACGCAGCCAATAGTATTGAATTTTAACGCGTTTCTATGTTTTTCAATCTAATGCATTAGAGTGCGTTAGTATATGATGCATTTTAATGCTTTTCCGATTTGCTAACGCTCTGAAACACGTTAAGTCTTGACATGTTTGAAAACTTTCCCTCTGCAATGCTTCTAGACGCGTTAACAATCGACGCGTTCCACTGTTTCCATTTTTACCATAGCAACAAGCGTTAATATAAGCAGCCTTTAAATGCGCTTTGACTAGGCTAACGCATCGAAATACGTTGGTACTTGGCGCGTTTTAACGCATTTCCGACTTGTTAACGCTTCAGGATGTTGTTATTTTTTATAAAAAGACGCGTCCTAATGCATCAAGTGAGCAAACAAATGCGTTTAGACGAAAAATCACCTGGGGAGCCCGAGAATGCTTTTTGACGCTAGGACGTGTGGTTACGGGTGAAGTCATTTTATAATAACGTTGATCGTTCATCCCATTACGAACACTACAGAGTAGAGAGCTTGATTTCGAATTTGATTGACTAAGGAAGGAAACCAATCGCAGCATTTGTTTGATACCGTGGCAATCTTCTTCAAAATCAATCAATGTACGCTAGTGTTATATATTAGAAGGTAAACCTTAGCTTTTCTGCTTTCGATGTATCGCAACCTTCAAATACTTTGATTTGATGGGTTTTCACGAGCCCAAATGAAAAAAGCGATTGAAACATTCTCCTACCCAATTGAAAAATCTATATTCATCATATGTGAATCTGTTTCCATAATAACAGGATTTAATTGTATTGTTGAGAATACTAAAAATATTTGGCTTCCGTTTCATAAAAAAGATAAGAGCTTTTAAACAATCTGTTTTGCAATCTTCCGATAGGTTAGCACGTTTTATCAACACTTGGACGACCGATCAACATTTTACACTGTTTTTGTTGGTATAATCCCATCTGCTCGTGAAGATGGTTTTAGAAACATCTTTAGAAAAACAATCAAACCTACGTGTATTTTTTTTGGATATAAGTATAATTAAATAAGCCATTATTTAATTACACATGATTGTAGCTGTTTCGCTTTTGATTCTATTACGAATGCTTTTGGATGTATTAAGAAAACTGCGAAACTAAACTAATCAGCCCTATTCTCGTGGAAAAAGTTTGATGTTGATGAATATTTTCAAAGTATATTGAGAAATTTTTAAAAATATATATACTGTAGCACCATCTATATCGATGCATTTTATTGTGTAACAAATTAATTAAAAGGAAAAAAAATATACAGAAATAAGTAAACAAATGAAGAAACAAATGGATAAATACTGATTGTTTTTAGTTTTCTTTGGTTAATGATCTCCTCAACTTACAGAGGTTTAGCGAATTTCTCTGACGACAAAGTGTACAGTAGAGCGCTTTTTACCACTCTTTCTTTTTTTAATACATCTAGCATTAACTAAAACAAACTATAAAAATCGGTTATCAGTTTCTTCAAAAAAGCTTTATGTTATATCTTTTACAGAAAAGTTGAGCTATGTCTCTAGTCGTATTAATTCTTTTTCTTTATTATTCTTATCTTTTGTTTTTGTTCCTTTGTTTTCTTAGACTGTGTCACTTTACACTTTTTTTCTTTCTGTTTATACATTGTCACCTTTTCAGTGGTTTGGCTTGTGTCATCATTTTTATAGATCCGTGGCCTTTGATAATTTTCACTTTTCGCAAATAAATTATTTGACTTCCTTTAACTACGAAGAAAAACAGAATGTATCCTCTTACACCTTGAAACTGGAATTGATAATATAATCTGTTGTTGTTTCTTTGCATAACTTGACTACCTATAAGAAAGAAGTACAAAACGTTACTAATCTGTCTTTTTTCTTTTTTATAGCAGAGAAGTCATTCGCTTGTGATTTTTTTTTAAATGACCAAGAGTCAGAGCGCTTTTTTCTGTTTGTCTGCAAGCTGATCTAGAAATCTAACTCATTTAATTGTTGCAATTGTACAGCTTATTACCCTGTAACATAATGCAAAAACGGATAGGAGTGTGGTTAAACTACACAAATCAGATCATTGCATTTATTGAAATAAAATAAACAATCAGTACTGTAGCGATCCAGTCTCATAATATGACAGACGCGAGAAATGCCTACTGTGAGAGAGTACGCGTTTCTCGTATCTGATGTATAAAGAACTTACGTAAGATTTCTGTAAGAATCATATTCAAATAGATAATCGTTCATAATTAAACATATGGGCATTATTAACCGATAATATAAAAACCTAAGATATATACTTTGAAGATTCGTAAGATGCTAAAATATGACATTCGCAATATTTCATTAAAAAGTCACAGTATGAAATTGTTTATTATATTAAATAAATTGGATTTTGTTAAAGATATAAAACTTAAAGAATTTGATATTGATAATTCGATGTCTGGTAGTATTTTTGCTCCATAATTTAACAATCATTCGAGACGATTCTGAATAAAATCTCCGATAAAATAAAACAAAATTAATCTTACGAATACTACCGCTTTAATTTTGTAAAAAGATTACGCGCGTTTAAAGTGTTTTTATATGTAAATTGATCATCTGACGGATAACTAGCTGTAATTAAGATGGACTTTACGATTATTTATGTGAGGTCCGTATTTTACGAAAATTACTCTGGTAAATGTAGTTTGTACAAATACTTGGGGAAGTAATATCCAAAGTGCCTGAAGTTTTTTACAAGTAAAAAATATGTTTATCAAGTAGTTAAACAAATACAGATACTTGATAAGTACTTCTTCAACTACTCAGAAGCATTGGACGTAATAAGAATTGTTGATATATATAAAACTCACGTGGAAGAAAGATACACCAAAAATATGCAGAAAGGAGAAAAGAAAACCAGCTGTCATGTCCCTAACATTTATAAGAGAGAAAAAAGTTTTTACTTTCGTTTTATAAATTTGTAACTGCTTTACAGATAGAAAAAATAATTATGAACTGACTCATTTAAAAACAAAAGATATGGTTTACTATTTGCCAAATAAAAGAGCTATATGTTGAACATTTCTGTTTTGTTGATCTTATGTTGATGTGATGACTAATCATTCTTTTGAATTTTCTTTTATTTTTGACAAATGAAAAGTGATCATTCGATGTTTACAGGTAATTCTAAAACCTATAGTCTATTTTTTTTTGTTGTCTTTTGTTTTAGATTATTAGTTTTTTTTTTGCTTTCTTCATTACCACAAAATAAAAGAAACATAAGTGAATATGGTGTGTTTTTATATGATAGTAATATAGACATCTAGAACCTAGTTAGATAAATAAATAAAGGAAAACAACTAAAAAAGAAAAAAATAACTCTTTCTTTTTTTATCCCTTTCTCTTCATTACATTTCATTTGATGACTATTGTCAATATTTGTTGTTGCCGATATTATTATTCATCGGCCATAATAAATTATTATTATAAATTATTATTGTTAAAACCTGTATCAATGAATGCTATTATCAAACAACAAAAGTATGTTTAATTTATTTCTATTATAAAAGAGAGATTCTTTAAAGGATAAATGTTGATTGATGGATAGAATTTTGTAGTGAGAAATTTCATCAGCCATAAATTTTATAAAATATTATTTATGCTTACATCAAAATTTTTGATATCAAACCATTGTAAAGGCTCCATTTTTTCCATTTCCCTCTATTTTTCACCTATTTCTAGACTCGGTGATCCTTTTGAAAGTTATCATCACTTTATCCTCTTCTATTTGACTTCTTATAATTCGCTTTTTTGAGAAAAGAGATAAAGTCACTTAACCCATTATAACGATTTTGGTCTTACTTTGGAATTTGCTTACTTGGAATTTGGTTTATCTTGAAAAAAGTATCATTTGGAAAACGAATACGGTGACAGCAGTGTAGATGGAAATACAATTGATAAATCAAAACGCACAATTTATTTTGCCTTTTCAGATTCTCTTTCTCCTCTTTTCACCACACTATGCAAAATGACATAAAAATCTATGTGTAATAGAACATTAGGACTGAAGATATAAAGAAAAATCTCATATTTTGACAGTTCTTCGTTGTGTAGGCGGAATAACTATATGCTAATATGAAAAAAATAATAATACGAGTTATTCATATTTAGTGGCATTTTTTGATTTAACTCGTTTAAATCAAATGGTCAGATTCATCAAGTAAGGGAATCTTTTACTGTTGCTTGTCCTTCTTTAATTTGCAATTATTTGTACTTACAAAATATTTAGTTTCTTCTCTGTCTAATACTCACTGCTAATTGTTGTACAATTCGATAAACTTACGTTTATTTTACAGCCGCTTTTTGTTGTCACAGATTTTGTATTAATATTTAAAAGACAATGTAGTCATTTATAGTGCGTTTGGGAAATCATCATTTAAATGGATTTGTCTTATATTTTTATGTTTGTAAAATAGTTGATGTTCATTTATGCTGTGTACACTTGTCACCCAGTTATCCGAGTGTTCATGTGTAAATAGCGTTCTGTTCTTTATTTATGTACACGTACAACGTTCAAGGATGATTATTTACATAAGAGTTAATAACCAATCGACTTTACGCTCATTATACTGTAACATGTTATAACTGAAAGATTATATTAGTGTCTGCGCGTCTCTTTGACTTTCTTGTATGTAGAAGATTAAACTTTACTACAGCTTTTAATGTACACAAAGATATGAATTATATATAAATGAACTAATCATTTATCGGTCCAAGAACGAAGAATAATCTCATTTGAGCTGTTATTGACGACTCGATTTCCGTTCTTTAAACTTGTGAAAGTTGAAGTATGTATACATATATTTTGAAATAGAATTCTACACTAGTCAGATTAGAAAGAACTAGCATCGTTTTCGCGAATGCTGACAAACTATTACGAGTGTTTGCAGTGTACCTTTTAAGAATGTAAGAGTGTATATTTACATGTTTTGTGAAAATTCTTTCTAGACTTCTAAAGAAATGAGAGCTCAACAAATATGGATTTGAGCTAGTTTTTTACTTTTCCCCTTACCAACGACTGGAAAGACGGATATTATAATAATTTCTTAAAAATATGAGAAATAATATCATATAGATGAGTAGCTGTGTGAATGGTATTGATAGCGAGATGGTAGTACCAGCTGGTAATCTTCTAAAGTTTAGTATATTAATGATGGAACTAGATAGATTTCTAACCAAATATAACATTTCACATTGAGAATCCTGAAAGTATATCTCAAGCTTTTAGTAAAACCAAAAGCTAAAATTAGCGTTCTATTGACTATAGGAAGTTTCTAGTTTTAGCCTCACTCTGAGCATAGCAATGCACATGATTATTTTTCTTTCTTTTAGTATGGATAATAATCAAAATACCAGTGCACAAGAAAATGATGATGGCGGTGGTGGTAGTGTTAGTGGTGATGTTAAAAATAATGTTTCATCAACACGTAATCATCTAACTAATTTATCTAGTCGTTTTGGTATTGGCTCTATTGCTGCTGCTAGTCGCTTTCTTCCTAAATGGGCATCATCGTCAAAACGTAAACATTCAATAGCAAAACGAGACACCAGCGTACGACAGTATTCAACATTAACAACTAATAATCATCGTCAACATCATTATCCATCAGTAATAAGATCAACCGAAAGACAATTTTCTAAAACGTTACATCGTACACGTTCAACTTCAGCATCGTCTGGATCCGGGCGAAAACTATCTACACCGCCTTCTTCACCGTCCATGTGGTTGCAAGGACAACATTTATTTTCATCAACAGCATCATCCGATAATAATAATACTATTAAAAATTCAACTACAGTACCTAGCGATATAAATAAACATGTTGACATTACACCGTCACCACCAATGTCTCCAATGGGTCCTACTCCAGATACTGTAGCATTAGATTTTAATTTTGATTTAACATATAATCAATTACAATCGCTATGTGAAGAAAATTGTGCCTTTTTTGCTCAAAATAAAAATGATGTTAATAGATCATTTGAAAGATTATTTATACAAATCTTACATTCGTTAGAAATAGCTGTACCTATCATACGTTATATAACGGAAAATTTTCATTATTTTGATTATAGTGAAGAGGTATGACAAATGATAATTGACTATTTGAACAGATAATAATAATTTCTTGATATTATGTTTCTAGATTAAAGCAAACGGATATCGATCACTAGTCGTCAGTCATGGACAATGTTCACTTAGATGTTTGGATATTGTAAGACAATTAACTGAAAAACGTCAAGGTTTACTATTTTCGTTAATGTATTCATCACGTTATTTACAAGATCTTGAGGCATGGACAAAATGTCTAATCTCATTACAAAATATCCTCCAGTTTGCAGCTAAAATGATTGATTATTCTGGAAAAAAAGTATTGTTAGTAAGTATTTTGGATAAGGAAAAATGTGTTAGTTACTCAAGGAAATACCTAGAAAGTTGCTGTTTTTTATCAATCGTACTTTTTTTTGTTTGACTTTTCAAAATTCTATTAAAAATGAAAATCTGTCGATTTTGAAGTATTTTAGAAGTTAAAACTCGAAAAATATGATCGGTTTATAGTGTTTTGATATTTATACAATCGCTTGATTTTAGGTTGATGCTGATCACGTTCCATTAGACGTTGAACTAGAATATTTCAAAATGGTTGCTGTTGATCAAGAAGCATTTTTTGGTAGAACGTGTGGTTTTCAGGTATAAATATTTTGCGTTTTCGTTTGTAATGGTGGAACAGTTTCAGTTCAGTTCTCTTGAATGGGAACTGGTTACCAGTTCTTTTCAAGAATTAAAAATAAAATAAAACTGGTGAAGTTAGTTACATTAGCTTTGTTTAGCCCATAAACGCACGATCTACCTTTGGCGCACTAAACAAAGTTAATCTAACTAACTTCATCAGTTTTATTTTATTTTAAATTCTTGAAAAGAACTGGTAACCAGTTCGTGTTCTTTTGAAAAGAATGTTCAGCAGTAGTCGAGTTCATTCCACCAGTTTTCAAGAAGTATACGAACTGGAACTATTCCACATCTACTCGTTTGTACTGAGTTATTGTAAAATTGTATCATTTTTAGTTTGCACAATCATTACAAATGATGTTAACCTTTTTACTTGCCGGTCTGGCTACATATCATGAAACGTATAACAAATCAATTCCTCTTGCCGCACTTACTCTCGCAACAAGTTCTAAATATATTATGTTTCCAGAACAACGTGCAAAAAAAGTAGATATATTTCATGTATTCTAATGATTTTTATTCTAAAATCATTTTTTTTTTCTAGTGTGCCGATGTATTTCGTGATAGTGATTATTTATTTTGTAAAAGTTTTTGGAATTTGGTTGATCATGATGTGATAAAAGTAAAAATTAATTTTTCTTATTGTTTTCAACTACAATATGAATAATTAATTATTTTTAGATGGGCGCAAGTATGATAATTCCAAAAGTAACTGTAAACAAATATTTTCAAATCGGTCCTAATCCAATTATATTACCAAGATTAGACGGACAAGGTGAAGTAACCATCAATGCACCAACTGCTCCACCTGGTGAAGACGAGCCCATTGAAAAAGCTGCTGGCAACATTGGTAGTGGTGCTCCACAACAGTCAACAGGAAGTGGCACAGATAAGCCAAAAAATTTAGTTAATATTAAATTTTTATCGAGTGAAGTAAGAGAAGGAATGGAACTTTTACCATTAAAAAGAAGTGATTATGAAATTAGTTCTAAAAAAGTACTACCACAAAGTGATCATCTAATTATGCACATTCATGGTGGTGGCTTTATTGCAACATCGTCAACCACCCACGAACATTATCTCAGACCATGGACTCTTGGATTAGAAGTACCAATTGTATCCGTTGATTATTCTCTCGCTCCAGAATATCCGTTTCCACGAGCTATCGAAGAATGTTATTATGCATACGCATGGATAATCAAAAATGCCGATAAACTTGGTTTGTCTCTTTACAATGATATTCATTAACAAAAAATAGTGAAATTCTTATACTTATGTTTTAGGCTGGAATGGTAAACACTTGATATTAGCTGGAGATTCGGCTGGAGGAAATCTTGTTACAGTCGTCACGATGAAATCTATTGAAGCTGGTTTAAGACAACCAGTAAATAATCAATTTTTAAGATAACTCAAAACATTCTAGATTTATTTATTTTTATTCTAGACTACAATAGTATGTTTTTATACACCTTTCTTATTGGGTTACAGGTAATTATTGTAAGAATGAAGTAAATATCGACAATAATGAAAATTTTTTTATTCTTTTTATTTAGTATGTCACCTTCAAGATTAATGGCTATTATGGATCCATTATTGAATACTGGATTTTTGTGGCGTTGTTTGACAGGTTTGTATATTTGACCTTATTTTTAAAGATTCTTTGGAAATATATTACTTTAAATGATTTTTTAGCTTATGCCGGAATTAAAGCAGATAATGTACAACCTCAAGATGATATGAAACATATTGAAGATCAAGTTACCGATAAACTGGTGCGTACTTTTAAGTCTTTATTGTAATGAGTGACTCATAAAGAATTGTTTACTTTTTTATTCAGTTTTTTTTCTTATTTTCATCTATCTTTAAGAAATTCATTCTAATTTTAAAAGATAGAGAATTTAATTTACAAAATGCTGGATGTGTTTGTTTTTGCACTATAATGAGAATTAACAGAATGGTAAAGACGATACAAAAAGATTCGATTTTAAAAACTGTATTCGTAGAATTTTGATTTCTTCTCTCGTGTTACAAGGCATTTAATGTCCATTCGAAATTATTTTCCTACCAAAAGATGCAGAATTGCAAACTCTATCCAATCGGATCGTTTTTAATATAACTAATATGTGTTTATCTGTCAAAAATACAAAGAGATGTACAAACCTCTAAATTTTAGAAAAACAAAAGAGCGGTTATTATAGCGGGCATTTGGTATTTTCTTTACTATTCTGTTAATTTTGATCATGTCATAAAAACAGACATATCATTTTGTAGAGAATTAAATTTTTCTTGTTTTAAACTTAAAATAAAGCTTTTAGAAGTGACGGTAGTAAGAAAAAAACTAAATACAAAATAAAATCATTTGTTTATGATTAATCAGAGTGTGAAGTGTGTATTCTGTTTCAGATGAATCAAATGTCTATCGAGTCTCATGATTCGATGGTTGAAATAAATACTGTAGATGTTTTACCCGAAAAAGAGAAGATTATCGATTCTGCGTTCGAGTCACCGAAAATACGAAATATAAATGTTCAACAATCGTCTCCTTACGATATTCAAACTGAAAGTCACAAAGAACAAAATCATCGTGAAACATCTAAGAATGATTTTATTCATAATACATCAAAATCTATCGATCAGGTTGATGAAATTATTTCAAACGTCAAAAATTTACTTAGTGATGAAACATTATCAGCAACAACAACTGGAAAAAAGTCAACATTTGTACGTGAAGATAATTATTATTTAAAACTAGGAGAAATTATGGGTACTCAACAAGCCTATTTATTAAGAAAATTAAGAGAATCGAGTTTACCAAATCATCCAGATATGTCACCATTATTAGCAGATGATAAAATTCTAAAAAAATTTCCAACGACCTATCTTATCGTACGTATAATCTAATATGTTTTTGTATCTTTTTAGCAGAGATTCATACCTTTACTAACAAATTGCACGCTATGCTTCTCCGTCAGCAACTTTCAAAATGTTACACAAGCAATCTATCCTTTTTCTTTGCAAGCAAAGTTGACTATTTCTCTTGCTTATCTCGCTTTCTTCTTACACAGTCATTTCAGCATGAATACAAACTAATTTATATCTTCTTCGATCAATGAATATTTTATAATCGTCACTTTTTTTTCTATGTTTAACACTTACAAGTTTGAGTTCAAAGTTCATCGAACATCATACATATAATTAGTTCCTGTTTCTCTGTGAAAAATCTCTCTCAGTAATCATCCAATCAATTTTTACCGAATATTAAAAGATGTTGACCATGTCAAAATATGTTTTGGAAATTTTCTTTAGATTCCATTTATTCTGTCATTTACGAAATATTGTCGAATTAAAGATTAGAATTTCCAGTTATCGTAATATGAACTGTACGAACATCTGAACAGAGTCGAATGTTTATTTTAGTTTATTTCTATTTGAGAAGAGATTTTTTCATAGGAATTTGAAATACTCTTCAAACAAATCTCCTGAAAACCTCTTTTATAATGGAGACAAGAACTTAAATAAAAACCCGACTCTATTTCAGTCATTTAGTCTATGCGTTCGCTTCAAATTAAAAAAGATTAATCCTTAGGAAAAAAGCTATCAGTGCGTAAAATGTCGCCTACTGAAAGACAATTTAGAAAAAAAAGATGGCATTTATGTACTGTGCTGATATTCAGAACTTTCTGTAAAAATATTATCATTTTTGTTCAAACTATCGTTCAATGTCTCATTTTAACCAGAAATATCTATTCTACAAATTGGTTGTATATAGAAAACAATCGCATAGAGTGACCTTCAAATATTGTTACTAAATCTTCATTCGTATCGTCATTTTCCTTAATAAACAGCACCATTTCTCTCCTAAAGATTGATGATATATGCTTCTTGAATACACTTTATTTTATCTACTATTTATCTCAAAACTTTTAGACACCTTTTGCAACTTCTCGGTAGCATCATTTCTATCTAGTTCTTTGACCATATATTTTTTTTTTTCATGATCTGAGTAATGATTAATCATAGAAAGAATAGCAAAATGGGCGATAATAAATCGTTTATTGGAGATGGAAGTTTCATGCACGTTTGTTTTTCTCATTTCAGTTTTATTGACAATCTTTAACACGTTTACTGTCCACGAGAAAACCTAAAACATTACCCATATGTCCATTTTAGATAATACATGATAATGCTACTAAGAAATTCAAATTGACAGTTTTTCATGTTTTTGGTACAAAAGTTCCTTCGGAAACCTTTTAATTTCTCTGATTATATATGATTCATGGATGTATGACGTACATGAGCTCCATGGTCAAAAATTAAATGAATCATATATGATATATGGACAGTGAACGTGTTACGAATTACAAGTGGAATTTTTCTTTAAAAAAAAAAAGCGTTTCGAGTTTTTTCTTGTGGATATAATTGAAGAGAAATATTTATATTTCAAAACATAGGATAGCTCATTTGATGAAAAAGAGCTAGGTATGTACCAGTTCTAGTTTTTAACTGTAAGAACTGGAACTGTCAGGAACTGCTGTAAAAAAATTTCAAAATGAATTCAAATAAATTTTAAATTTCATTAAAGAAAATGCAAGTAAAAACTCAAAAATCTTTTAATAGGAACACTTTTTGAAGCTGTAATTTATGGATTATAAGTAATCGATTATGGAACTCATAAAGGGACTCTACTCCGGTGATTCATATAACCTACTAACAGTCTCTATGAAAGTGTGGCTCCACTCAGAGATGCGTAAAAAGTTTAAAAACTAATAGAAATTCACAAGGCTTCATAGAGATCGTCAGTAAGTTATATGATTCACCGGAGTAGAGTCCCTTTATGAGTTCCATAATCGATTACTTATAATCCATAAATTCCAGCTTCAAAAAGTGTTCCTATTAAAAGATTTTTGAGTTTTTACTTGCATTTTCTTCAATGGAATTTAAAATTTCTTTTGAATCCGTTTTGAAATTTTTTTGTAGCAGTTTGTGACAGTTCCAGTTAACTGGAACTGGTGCATACCTACAAAGAACAGACGTAACATGGAGTGAAGTATTGTTGAACAAAATTTAACAATCTCTTTATAATAGTTTGTTCATACTTTGATTAAACCAATATGTGTGTATTGTGTTCGGAGTATAGTTGACTGTGAGATGGTTTTATATGTAATAATCTTTTAATAAGTTTGAAGTATACCTTAGACATGATTGAACCTCTCATTAGCTTCAGATTATATTGTAGGTAATCGATATTAGTATTAGTAGTAATAGGGCATACATTTCTTAGACATAATCTATCATCATCAGAGTTCAGACACAAGCAAAACACAAAAAAGGGCATTTTCTTTTTCAGGCATGCCATCAAGATCCACTTTTAGATGATATGGTGACGTTTGCTAAACATTTGAGACAATTAAACGTAAAACATCGTTTACTTTTGATACATAATTTAACACATGGTTTCTTGAGTTTTTATAATGCCAATAATGATTGTAAAAAAGCTGCTGATAGTGTTATGTTGCAAGTAGCAAAAGAAGTTGGAATCAACGTCACTAGTAGAAAATCACGAAAAATGACAACGACTAAACATACGTTATACAATAGTACAGGCGAACAAAATTATGATATAATATTTAATCCTATATATTCCACAGAACCTAGTAACTCAGATAACGATAATTTATCATCGTTACCAATAACGCCCACTAGTCCGCCTATTTTTAACGCATTACCATCGTCAACAATGCCAACATCGCCAACATATTTAAAAAAGCAAAAAATTAAAAATAAATTGAAATCGTCCAAACCGAATGAAAAATAATGAATGAAAAAATTGTGTGCTATATGTTTTTATTTTTTATACGAAAATATCCCGGTGTTTAGTTTTTAATCTACTTTTTTTTTCAGTTGTTTTGTGCGTATGTGTATGTGTTCGTTTTCGACAACTAATTTTTTTTATTTAATTTATTTTAACATCGAATCGTCCATATTAGTTATTTTTCTATTAATATTAACTAAAAATATGGGAAAAAAAGAAAATTTTATTCTTAAAACCGAGATACAAACTGCTGATGAACGGTGAGAATAAGAATCATGTTGTAGTTTATAACTAATATGTAGTTGAACATCAGAATACTTATTGGCTTATTTTCCACATCTTGCTACTTGTTTTGCTTCATTCTACTGATAGTGTAAATTAACGACTAATTGTGACTTTAATGTTTGCTTTTTGCTATCACTGATAAAATTCTATCGACTTCTAGAATATTACTAACTGTTCTCTCAAAAAAATGGTCCTTGTAACTCTGTTGAATAACTTTGTCGAAAAACAACTGACAGTTTTTCTGCTATCACCATCATTTTAACAAAAACCAGATATAAATTTGAATTAAAATATCTACTCCATAACGATCATTGAGTAGTCTATTTTATATTAAATGGACGTTCTATTTGATTATTGTTAACCGTTTCTAAAAGTAGACTCTGAAAGGTTTAAAAAAATATAGATTTTCGAATTCCACTCCTATTCACAGAAAATCTTATACACCTTTTTTAATATTGAAACTTATTAACGAATTCTTTGTTTTTATTCTGTGAATGTTGAGAGATTATATCATTGAATATTAAACGTGTCACTTTCTTCTTTTTCAGCCATGCGCAAGGGATCCTTTCATCGATGATAGTGTAGAATTTGCTCGTCGTTTACGTTCACTGAACGTTCCACATAAACTCATTGTTATTGATGAATTACCACATGGTTTTCTGAATTTTGGATTTGCATCAACTGCTAGCGCAAAACAAAATACAGATATAATTGATTTATTACAAAGTCTATTGACTGATGTTCCAGTTACGAAAGTTTGAACCTTTTCAGTATTTTAGTCAAGCATTTTTCTTTCTCGGTTTTTTATTATGTCTATACAAATATCTATTCATTTATTAGTTACATCAGTCTTATTCATTGCATTTTAATTTCTGTTGCATATCTAATGTAATTTGCGCCGGTGTCGAGAAAACGAATCTCGTCATTATTCTTGCAGTGATACTCTTTGTACAAATAAATGTTTGTGTTTAGAAGCGAATGTTAAGTTGATCTGATTTTAACTTTTTTCTTTTTTTTCTTCAAATTTTATTTCTTATTTGTGATAAAAAATCAAGTTTTTCTCACCCATAAATGATCACCGATAAGTTTTCTTTTTTGACAATTTTTTTGTTATTTTTTTTATTTTGTTGTGACAGATTAATCGTATAGTGAAATATGTCCGTTTATTTTAAATTTTTTTTTATATACATTTTTTTCTCATTTTTCGTTTCTTAAATTATTCTTCTTTGTTGAAATACAAAAAATTTATACCAACAATTGAATGAATGATGGCACACTACAGAGGAAATGTTTGTGATGCAATATATTCATTATATCATTTATGAGGTATTTTTTACCTCAATTAAATTCAAATTTAAACCAGTCATAAACTTAAATTAACTAAAAATTTTCGAAACATTAGAAAAATAAGAAAATATTATAATTGTAAACCACAAATCGTGGTAAAAAGTATATTTTATTTGTACAGTAGGTTTAATCTGTATAGATAACAGTAAAAGTGTCGACAATTTTTTTTATTTGTTCTTTCATGGTTGTGTATTATTTGTATAAAAGATAATCTTCTGATAATAGTTGTTGTTTTTATATTAGATAACCAGAAAGTAAAATTATAAGAATATGTCTTCATCTTTTAAAAGTGTAGTATTAAAAACTGTATTATCATTATGTTTGTTCACCATATAAAGTAAAAAATTTAAAATAAAAATTCTGTTCTTTTACAAGTCATACATGTACATTAAAGTTTTATTTTAAATAAAATTTTCAATTAAAATTAGTAGAGAACTTAGAATAAATAATTTTTACATTGTTTAGTTATTTTGTAGTTATAATATACTAACTATTTTTGAGTCTCTAAATTCATCAATTGAGATTAATTGTTCTTGGTTTAAATGTATCCGTACGAAGGGGATTTAATTGGACCATAATTATAACCATACGGAAATAAACTTCCATAACTCAATGATTCTTGAACGAGAGTGTAACCAGGTGGTGGGAACATACCATTANGAACTTAGAATAAATAATTTTTACATTGTTTAGTTATTTTGTAGTTATAATATACTAACTATTTTTGAGTCTCTAAATTCATCAATTGAGATTAATTGTTCTTGGTTTAAATGTATCCGTACGAAGGGGATTTAATTGGACCATAATTATAACCATACGGAAATAAACTTCCATAACTCAATGATTCTTGAACGAGAGTGTAACCAGGTGGTGGGAACATACCATTACAGGGATAGCCAAATAATACATAAACCATATTTTATCTTAAATTCTATTATTCTCTCCTATAAATATCTCAGTAATAATTGAACAATACTTATACGGTATTCTAATATCATAATAATAGCCATTACCATACGACGTTGGATCATCACCATACGGTGAAATCATGAAATTATTATACATAGACATTTCTAGTCAAATGAATGAATCAACTAATTAATACTAACACAACAACAAAAGTGGTAAATAGTTTTGTTTTCTCATTTATCGTGTGCAGAGAAGCACATCGTTCTGGTTTAATGATCATATAGGTGATTGTATTTTTGGATACGTTATGACGAAACAACTATTTTCATAAATAGAGACAAATTGGTAAATTTCACTGAAAATATTTTACTAGAAAATAAGCGTACAGCTCTCGCTAGTTGAAGTATGAAAAGTAACAGTTAACATAGATTTGTAGTTATCTTAAAATATTTATCATAATTAAAGTTTCATGATTTGTATGTTGACTGAGATATTTTTCGGCTGTAGCAAAAACAAAAGAAGAAATAATATAAAAAAACAAGATTTTTGTGATGGAGTATGAGTGGGAAAAAAATTTAATTCTCAAACGTCGTCAAACAAATGCTTTTATAATTTCCGTACTCTTCAAACGTCTCTTTCTTATTAAGCATTTTTTTTTCTCTTTATAACGGAATATGTTTGAAAATTATGTAATTATCGAAACTAAAAATGTTTTTATTTCTGTTTCGAGTGGGATATGATAAAGGATGTTTTTCTCTATTTTTCTATCAGAAATCGGCGAGTTTTTTTATTAGTTTCAATAAAACAGTTAGTCACACTTAGTCATTTTCGTACGTTGAACAGATTTCTTTCTTTTTCTAAAATACCATTCAATTCTCTCTCTACAAATTGATATTAGTTTTAAATATCTTTTGAGTCATAAATGAAGAATTTTTTTCCCATATTTCTGATGCAAAATTTTGTTAACTATTTTTTTACTAAAACTGAGTTTTACAGTATGTCTTTTTTACTATTATGAAGTTACTGACAAATTTGCAAAAGTAGAGTAACTAATAGAGTTTTCCACAGACTATGTTCTCATCTATTTGATTTTCATCTATTTCGATTCCAAAAATCCTTTTTTTTTCAGGCTAAAGTGGAAAAAATAAAGAAAAAAAGCACTCACTTTACAAGAACCTTTTTGGTGATATTTGATATTTAAATTTTTTCTAGCGCAAACTCCATCACAGAAGTCTTACTTTTTATGTTTCTCGAAGGTCAGACTGTGCTCTTTCCAGAACCCAAAACGAATTAGAAAAACTTGATTTGATTCGATTCGGGACAACGTTTTGGAATTCTAAATCGGTTCGATTCGGCCTATTCCGATGCAAATTAAAACTTGCCTCTCTTTTGCAAACGTTTGTTTAAAATATACTACCTCGAGTAGAACACTTTGGTAGAACATGTTATTTCTGTGACTACAGCTTTCGAACATGCATTATACCAAAAACAAATAAAAACAAAAATTAGTTTGTTCTTAAAAATCAAATTCGGTTCGATTTGACTCGACACAAAGCCGTATCGAATCGAATGTCGAATTATTCGATTCGTTTTGATCTCTGACTCTTTCCAACCCGGAAAAAAGGTTTACTCTGTAGCATATTGGGAGCATGTAGAAATAATCCTTGACGTTTATTCAATTATTTTTGAATCGTAGGTTATTTTTTTTTCGTTGGAAAGAGCAAAATCTGAGCGACAAAAACCATCTGAACTGAGATTTCTAAGAAAGAAATTTTAGACAAAAAAAAGCCCGACAAACAAAAACATCTCCATAACTATTTTGCAACTTTTTTAAAGACTTCAACCTATCAGCTTCTTCACCATTTTATTGATCTCTGAGGTTTAAAAATAGTATTTTCTACAGATTTAGAAGGATTTAGCTGTTTCCCGTAAACTAAAGGACGGCGATCGACAAGAGGCGTAATCGGTCCGCTCACAAATGAAGCATAAATTAACCGATCTAATTAGTTTTTGTCGGCGATTAACCCCAACATATTTTTTTCTTCTTCAGTCCCCCTGGAAAAACTTTCGCAAACAAAACTTTTCTTTCAACAAATGAACTTACTTAGAGTATTTTCATTATTTCATCTCTTTCATCTAGATCAAGCCTCAACTATCAAAGACTATTCGATAGAGAATTTTACGAGCTACAAAATGAGTTATAAGACAATATTTTAAAAGTTTGCCTTCATAAATGTACTGGACAAATATGTTGACCGGCATCTCGATTTTTTACTTATAGTGGCAAATAAAAATGATTATAGTTTCTTTTAGCGACATAGATTAGGCATAGTTTGTATATAGAAAGATACAAAATTGAAAGGGCTGCAAAATGAGATACAACGTAGTTTTTTACATCTTAAGTTTAGTAGACTTATGGGAAAGAAATGAAAGACCGTTTTTCGATTTTGGTGACATGAAGCCTTTTTTAAATTGAATGCTGTTGGATGATACAGTGCTGTAGAGAGCTCAGAGGCACCTTGATTTGCTCAGAAACTTTTTCTGTATACTATGAGGCTATTACAGAAAAAGTGTCACTCGAATTCGTCGAGTTAGTTTGCTAGAATTTGAGTTTTTCAGAGACCTGAGCTGTAGAAACTTTACTGGAACTTTTATTTGCCATAGAGCAGATTGGAAACTCCTTGAGCTATTCAAATCTTTCTCAGATTCGTTGTAGCTATTGTCTTCGAGGAGAAAAACTGAAAATAAACCTTATTCAATAGTTTTGAGAGCTACGGTAAATAAAAATCGCGACAGTCATATACTATTTAGCATATAGATCCTAGACGGCATACTTGTTAAAAAACTGATAGGTTTGAATTTGAAGTATGTTATATTTTGCATTTTTCTATACCATAAGCATTTCGGGTCCGATTTTGCCTCTTATTGACCCCCTCCTTTCATTATCTTTCTCTATAGCTTTGAATAAGAAACAATCTATTAATAATAGCAAAAGCTTTATTAATTAATTGCCCGAATTAGCTAATTACAATTTGAAAACGAACTCCCTTTTAGTTTTTAAATTCATTTTCTGGTTCAGCACTTAATTCGCTATATTCGTTTCCCGACCCTCCGTCATATTTCTACAAAAAGTTACGGTTTATTAATTAACTTCCATCAGATCACGCCAAGAATACTTTCTGTTGATTTAGCACTATTTTGGTAGTTTCAAAACTACACGTGACAAAAATGTATGAGAAATAAATCATGCGTTCATTTTATCGTATTTTACCTACAATTTCGAAAAACAAGCGAGTTATGTTGGTTGAAAATGTGTTTTTAAGATTAACTCGATTTGATACCCAGTTGCTGAAAGTTTTATCAACGTTGAATGTAGGGCGTAGCCAGGATTTTGTTAATGAATGCCCCAAATTTTTTCAAAGTGTTAGACATTAGCGCAGAGTAGTGTGAATTATAAAACTTTTAGTGGGTGGGCAAAACCAATTAGTGGGTAGGCTGAGCCCACCCGGTGGCTACGCCACTAGTTGAATGTGAAAAAAAAAAGACTTTTTGACTTGCCTACAAAATGAAAATACACTATAGGCAAAGCTACAAAAAGATATATTTGTCTGTCATCATTTAAAAGAATCCTTTCGTTTATTATAAAATGAATTCTATTTCGTTGAATTGTTACTGCCTGAAAAATTATTTTCCGGTTCTAAGCTGAGAATCGAGAAACGCCATAGGATGCAGAACTTGCACTTGGCGCAAACTCAATTGTGCAAATTCATTCAGGGGAAGAAAATGGATTTGCAGCAAACTATATTCTACTCAAACATTCAGAATTCTCAACTCTCAGCAAATCGAGAAGTGTGATGCAAGTTGAGAATTTTGAGAATTCTAGTGCATCAGATATTAGCATATAAATTTACCTATTGGAAATACACGAGATATTAGCCAAATACATGGGATATTAGTAAAATACGCGCGATTTCACTGAATATACGAGAAATTAGCATATAAACTCAGCGAACGAGAGAAAGGGGAAAGGGGGGCGAGCATGACAGTGAGTTCCTAACACAGATTTCAGTACCAGACTTTCGTATTTCCAGAATATATTTCTGTTATTCCAGATATTCAACTAACATCTCATGTTTTCACTAAAACCCTCCATACTTTCCAACAACGCTTACGAAAAGCCCGTATTTCACTACTGTGCACCACACCTCTCGATATGCAAAATTTCCGATTTGCGCTAGAATTCTCACAATTCTCAAAATTCTCAACTTGCATCACACTTGTCGATTTGCAAAATGTTGGATTTGCATTCATGTTGCGCAGGTTGGAGAAAAAGTGGATTTGCGGCAAACGCAAATTCTCCATAATGCCAGAAACGCGGTTTGGTTCTAAGTTCGGAACCGGAATCACGGTTCTATTTGTTTCAGTTCAGCATGAGGAACCAGAACCACGCTTCTTTTCATGTCGGTTCTAACTCGAGAACCGAACATCCCTACCCAAAGCGGTGGTAAAATAATTTTTATTCCGCTTCCATTCTACTTTTATATTTTACTTTTAATTCTTCGTAACTAGTTTCAATCGTGAAGAGCGCAACATGTCTTCCGTCAAACATATGATTTATAAGAATGGAATGTACTACTATCTATTTCACAATAGGGTGGTAACGCATATTTTTTGAGTAAATCGAGAATATTTCCTTAAAAACACATTTTGCAAAACTGTTTTTACCTAAATTGTTAGAGCATCGCTAATAAACCAGTGTGGATTTCAGAACAATGAAAGGCCAAAACTTTTCATGAACAGATAGCCCCAAGTGTCTTTTTCAATAAAGGATTTGAGCTGAAGACCTTGCTCTTCAAGAGATCAGGCGGTCCATCTCGTTTACCATCTCACCATTGTGACCAAAAGTAACCTTAAAAATGCATGTTACGCACTTACTTGAACAGCCCGCATCTCATCAAAATGTTTTTTTTACTAGTCTAAGTTTTTTTTTGTTTTTGATCGAACGGGCGAATACCCCCAGCGCCCTCCAGACAGCTCTATTGCCATTTGCCACTCTTTTATCCATTTGCGCGGTTAGTGAACATAAATAAATGATTGATCGCCTGATATTTTCAAGAAAGAAAAAACGAAACACACAACAAGAAAAAAGACGTGTTACAATAACAGAAAGCAACACTTACGATAAGCTACAATCAAATTAGATTATGGGTTGTATATTAATCTTAGAAGAATATCGGAATTACGTTACTCAAGCGATAATTGCTGGGCTGGCGAAAGCCAAATGAGTCATAGCAACGGCATAGCAACCAGTCGAGGGTACTCATAGCATACATTTCATTATTTTCACTTAGGTTATCTTATATTTGTACGATGTTTTAGGTGCATCGAGCCTAGTTCAATAGAGGGTTTTTCCAGCATCTTAAGAGGAAATAGTTGTTTCTTTATTATTTCCTACCAGCAATCTTGCATAGAGACACCGCAATTAGAAAAGTACCACTTTGCTGTACGTTTTATTTGAAGACATGACTGGTGTATGTTGGTTTTACCTGTTAGTTTTATACAGTATGGGCTTGCTGAACCAAGCGTATCGTTGATCTTTCTTACATTTGAATTTATTAAATTTTTAGATGGTATTCTAATATTTTTCTACGCTTTGGCAGGTTTGGTCCTATTTGTCTCATCTTTCTGTGCACGAATCGTTGATTTTCTCTGATTATTTCTAAAAAATGTTGAATGGTAATAGTAATGTTGATCGTGAGCATGATGATGAAACATCATCGATTAGTTCATCTGTTACGTATCTATCACAAACAGCTCAATCACCAACACCAACAGCAAAAACGTCGCCGTTAACAAGAGATTGGGTTCGATTAAATGTTGGCGGAAAATATTTCATGTCAACGCGATCGACGTTGTGTAAACAAGAATCATTTTTATGCCGTTTATGTCAAGATAAACCAGAATTGAAAACAGATACAGATGAAACGGGAGCCTACATGATCGATCGTGATTCAAATTATTTTCACATAATACTGAATTATTTAAGACATGGCAAGCTGATTTTAGAAACTAACTTAGTCGAAGAAGGCGTATTAGAAGAAGCAGAATTTTACAATATCCAGCCATTAATTGAATTAGTTAAGGAACGTATTCGAGACAGAGATAGACGACGAGCAGATTCCGAATTAGGCGTAAGTCTTTTTGTTATAATAATTCCACTATTCATTGCGAGATATATTAGCTGTAATTGTTTTACAAATAGCTTTGG